TAAACCAAGCCATTTCAAACCAGCCTGACAGAATCAGTTTCTGACAGTGCAGTCATTCTCGAACCAATACGGTCTCTAGTTAAATGCTCCTAAATGCTTCAAATGCGCTTTTAGTCTTTCCCGATCTGAATATCCCTTGGAACCGTCAGTTATCAATTCCGTACCCATCACCAGAACACATACCACCAAATAATTAGGAGTCACCATGGATATCGATCTACGGTAGTCCTCCATGTGCCGGCCTGGGTTAGTAGATCGCAACGCCTATCCTTGCACTTTCCACTTTGCTCTTATTTATCAATAGGAATATTTTACAAACTAATATCTGTTGTTAAGTAGGACATGAGATTTTATAATTTAATGTCTGTGCGAGCTCACAGTAACTAAGATGGAAAAGCTTTGATAAGCATGATACTGCATGATAAAGTGAAATATCAAATAGATGATCCAGTAAACTCCGCAGATTTTCGGTTTTATTTCCAAAGTTAAAAACAACTGTTACCTCAAACATGTACAATAAGATATACCTTAATAAGACAATTTTCCAGGACAGGTTCACAATCCAGCAAGGCAGCAATTTCCTCAATACCTTTACGTAACTGATTGCACCTTGTCTCCGACTGCTTCACACTTTCATCATACTTCTGCTCGGTAGTTCTGTAACGAGGACTTGAAATGTAAATATTACTTCACTTGTACCTTATTTGGCTTTGTAAATGCAATATTTTCTCATTTTTACTCTTCACGTCCTGTTGTAAAGAACGAAGTACAATGTCATATTGTTCTTCAGCTGTTTTCACGTTGTTCAACTGTTCAGTTTTCTCATCTAGCAGTTGTTCCAACTCTTCGATTCGCTTCCTGTGTGTAAGAAATTCCAATTTGCTCGCCTCTCTTTCAGCTCGCAGTTGACGAATCACACAGTTTTTTTCGTGAATAATGTCCTTGTTCTCTGCAAGCTGAAAAGCAATGAGTTTAAAATAGTTTATTCCGTACAGTTAGTTGAAGCTTCTCCACGCGCGATCTTATCTCGTCCAACTTTTCATTGGACTCGGAGTGACCAATAATTATGCGCTGATTTCCATTAGTCGGACTCGATGAGGTGAGTCTAGACAGTGAATTTGGTAGCAATATTTAAATTGCAAACATAAACACCAACTTTGTTATTTCACGAACGAGCTCATCTCGCTTGTCCAGCTCAGTTTTATAGAATCGGAGCTGTTCTTCAAGCTGGGAGAAGGAAAAAAGTTAGCTGTTCTAAAATGAACTGACTTCATAGCGTGGTAGCTCGCAAGGAGACTGGTTCACTAATAACATGTTAGAGGAGGGGAAGGCTGAAAAACCTTACCTGCATCTTGAGAGTCACGTCGATTCATGTTTGAAGCTGTGGATATTCTTCAAATAGGTAGCGAAGCATACAGGATATGAAAGGGTTAACGGATCATCTAGAAAAAAGCTCCAAGACTGCAAGAAGACATCAACTAAAATGAGTACACTAGCACGCGACCTTGGACTGCAAACCGACCTACTAATACTGAATGTCCGTAACATGTTTTTCACGAAAGTGAATAGCAGCTAATAACGAGAAATTACTCAAAGGAATGACTAAAAGTACTCGCATTTAGACCTTTGAAAAGATCTCAGCTACTTTGTAGTCTTCTAATTTCCAGGAGACTGGCTTTTGTGAGCCTATCTAATTCCACCAAACAATATATCTTTCAGAAACCGTTACAATTAGAATTCAAATCATCAATCAACAACACAACAAACTAATTGTCTCGCGACACCAGTCCTTCTGTGCAAATTGAACCAACCCATATAAAATTTGTGTGACCTTATTGATTGAACCGATCCTCCACAAGTTACGATGAAAGAGTTAATTTACTAAAACATATTGATTATTTCAGCCTCTGGGTAATGTGCTACCTTGTGTTGCGTTGAATAGTAGCTATTTATCATTCTCCAAGATCTTAAATTAAGGTTAGGAGTTTAAGAATCAGCTTCACTGTCGGAAGGTAAATAGCAAAACATTTTCTACAGAAAACATCGAAGGTATTACCTTTTGAGAGGTGTTTGTTTTCTGGCAGTCAGAGTAAAGTTTACCAGTGTAAAAACTGTATCATAGAAGGAACACTAATAAATATAGAATGTACAGTATATATATATATATATATATATATATATATATATATATATATGCCACCGGCTTGAAAACGAGCATGGTGCCAACGCAAAAAAATAACAACAATAACCGCGAAAGATTATAGGTGGGTTAAGATACAGAACATAGTGAAAAGTGGGTGAAACAGCTAAACATGGGAAAATACAAGATAACAAAATTTTTTGTGTTTCACCGTACACCTTTCGCAATTTTTTGGTGTTGTTTGATGTTTCGTTTTTCTCAAGGGGCACGGGATTTCGACAGACAGACCGTACAGCATTCGCGCCACTGACTTCTATTCTGCGCCTTATCTC